TTTTTGTGGTTGTGTTTCAATCTATCATATTTATAGCAGACATTGCAAAATAATTTCAGTGGATTTAAAAATTTATATCCTATTTCATATCGTCCGGTAAAGGCAAAAAATTCGCCGTCTCGTGAAACTGACCCATTTATCATTGCACAATCCAACATGACGGACACCCTTTTTATTGCAGTAATTTTTTGAAATAAGTATTGATAATATTAATATTAAATTAATAATATATTAATAATATTAAATTAATAATATATTAATAATATTAAATTAATAATATATTAATAATATTAAATTAATAATATATTAATAATATTAAATTATTAAAATCTTTTATGTATGTGTAGTAATTATTCAACTATAATTTTATTTTATACATCACACATATATATCAATACTAATTTATATAGTTCATTGTTTAAATTGATTAGAACAAGTTTCTCAAAACCGTATAATAAATAAATTTAATTTAAGAATATTTTTATCATATTAGTTTTAATATATTCGAAGGTTGTAAAACTATAAAATATATAACAATTAATATTATTATATATTCTATAACATAAATATGTTATTGTCAATTTAGATTTTAAATAATATTCTATAATTTTTTGTAAAGGCTATACGAATTTCTTTGAATCAATAATAAAAATAAATATAATAATTAATGAAGTACGCTAATAATCTCAAACACTATGGTAACTTTAAATCAGTAGTTGTTCTAGAAAAGATAGAAAAAGTCTACCAAATTAGTTTTGAAACACAGTAAAGTGAACAAGTTAGGGAAGTGCTTGTACACTTTTGACAAATAAGGTCAAAATTGTAAGTAAAAGTTTGTCTTAACTAGACCAGGAATTTTGCTTATATTGGTTTAATAAACCACGATGTAGCTTTTGCTCATATTTTTACTATAAATTATTTCCTATTTTATATTTATATATTTTTTATGTTATTACAAACCCATTTTTTGTTAAGAACATTTTAAATGCCTGAATCACTGACTTCAGTATGTGATGTTGAGAGTTTTAAATAATATAAATATAATATAAATATTATTATTTTAACATTAAACCACTAATCTTTGTTTATAGATTTAACGCATTCGGGGTATTATACACCAGGTTCTTTATATACCCATTTTTTTAGTTGGTTTTTTTTAAATAATTTTGTATATTATATATTAATTATTTTGAATTGATATAAAGCCCAAAACATAATAAATAACCTTTATATCATCTGTAAATTTTTCCATTGATTATAATGTCTTATTGTATTTTTACAAAAATTTTGTTTGTTATTATTAAGTTGGAACAACAAATTTAACAAGAAATATTAATGCATATATTGTTCAATATTTTTTAACAAAAAATTAATTTTAAATAAAAATATTTTTCTATAACAAAATAAATTATTTTGTACAATATTTTGTATCAACATTCGTTTGGTATGTTACGCATGTATCACAGTTTGTTGCAGTTTTCAGCCTTACTAACAAAAACAGTATTTTTAGCTTCAGTTTGTTAGTATTTTCTTTATTTTATATATGTATGTGGTTTCTTTTATATATATATTTACTTATTTATATATATATATATTATCTTTTTTCTTCTTAATAATAAATAAAATTAATTCGTATTTGTTTGTCTTTTTGTTTTTATTTTTATTGAAAATTTAAGAAAATGCATATAAGCATTCTGAAAATTTTAACTACTATTTTAATATTTTTAAAATGAATTTTTAATTGTTTATATAACATGTATTTAGATTACATAGATAAATATATATTTGTAAGTTGTTTTTTTTTATGCAGATGCTAGACTTTTTATATAATTTCTTAAAATTGAAATAAATAATATTCACATCATATATTAATTGCATATGCGAAGCATTTGACATTTTAATTAAAAAATACAAAAAAAAAATCTTTTGTAAATAAACTACAAACATATATGTAAATATTATTTTATATATATTTTTATAATTTAAGGGATATATTCTTTTAAATTTTGTAATTTTATTTAATGTAAATCTAATAAGTGTAAAGGACATCATACATTTGTAAAAACAGGACAATAATTATACAAAATATAAAATCACTATAAGTCAATTACAAAAAAAAAAATATTGTATGCTCAGCGGAAATACGAAAAATTATACTTGTCAAATTATAAAAAATTGTATACGTTAAATATATATATATAAAAAAAAATTTTAATATTTTAAGTAGATATTTAATTTATGTCAGCTTAAACTATAAATCAATTAAGCTTGATTTATAAAATACCAACGTAAAATATTAAAAAAATATTGATGCCAGAGTAACTATACTATTTGGTTTAATAATGATATATATATCATATGTAGTTTTGTTAATAATGTAAGGTTACTCCTTTTGTCCAGTACAAAGAATAATTCTTATATGTGAACATATAATATCCTTATTAAATTTTAATCTACATTACTTTGCACATATCATTTATGCATTTATTTAGCTATTAAGTCAACAATTTTTTTTTTTTGTAATTAGTGTATGCTAAATATTATAGCAAAATTCTTATCTATTGTTTGTTTTTTGTTCATATTTTTTTTTTTAACTTTTGAAGTTTGAAGCAAAATGTTTAAGGTAAGTAATTTACTTAAAATTATTAGCTGTTTGAATTTTGTTTATTTGGTATACCTAATTACCTTTCGCTTTATTATAATTATTTATTAAAAAGCTTATTTTAGTTTATGTTTGAATATAATGGATAACTGCCCCGTTTTTGGGTGCAGCATAAATTGAACACGCACAGCGTTGTAGAGAAATTACAATTGCTCGTACTAATAGTAACCAGTGGTATTTGCGTAGCTCTGTTGGTAACCTTGCGAATCTATATTTGGAAAGAAAAACCAGCGAAAGAGGCAAGTTTTATAAGTGAATTAATTATTAAGCACTCTTTCATGACTTCTTGAGAAATTATACAATTTTTGAATTATGATTCATGCGAATTAATTTACAATAAAGAAGTAAGTACTGTTCTAAAAGTTTCAAGTGAAAAATTTCGAAGATAAAGACTAAACCTACAGCGATTATTTTTCTTTTTCTATCTGTTTTATCTATTTTTTATTTTCTATTTGTTTTTAATCTATCTCTTTTATTTTTTGATAGCTGGGGAGTTTCTGCAGAATTCCACCCATCTCACTGACTAATTTGTGTATTCCTCATAGCTTCGTGATTATTCAATGACTGATCTAAGATCTGCATACTGCCCCGTGCGGTTAGTGATTACTCTGAGATTAGATAGTGCTAAGTAGGGCAGCCTGTCGGTTTTCGGATATAGCTTCATAGCTCTTTTCCTTATGTATTTTTTGACGGGATCTATTCTAAAGTCTCTTAGCGGAGACCATTCATTCGTGCGAATGTACTATGGTACTTTGAAGAGTCTTCGGAGAACTTGACTTTGAGCAAGTTGTACATTCTGGAGAATATGATAAAAAAATAAAATCAACATTTTCTATATATTGCATTATTAGATTTACTCTCTTGTGTGTACACATAATTAAATCTTTCAATCTTACTTCTAGTAAGTTGTATATTATTACCAAGAGAAAAAATAAGAACTTTCTCTTCAATAAAAACTGAAAATTGCCACGCTTCTTTGAACGGCGATGTCGACGTACTTCAACATTGCACTATTCTTAGTATCAGGTCACCTGAGATATCGCAGGCAATTATAAAGTAGATGAGTTAGCCAGGTAGTGTGTCTCATGAACTCATTTAGAAAAGCTAGGCATACTGCTTGTATCAAATGAATATGACGAAATCTTCCTGTAGCAATTTAATACAATACTAGAAGTTGTTCCCTTTTAAATCAGAAAAAAGCTTTTTTTTTAACATTTTAAAATAAAAACAATTTCTTTTTTTATATACTGGATGTAGACCTGAGGAAGTTAGAAAACTTCGAAAAGTTTGCAATTTTTATATAGAATATCACCATATATAAACTAGAAAAAACTGTTCACAAAAAGTTTTAAATGATGACACATCAAAGCATTGAATAAATCTTACTGCAGCTATGAGTAGGACAAAGAAAGTTATTCCTATCTGATTTGTCACTGTCCAACGCATGCGTTATAGGTACGTTAAAATAATTGTATTCTAAACAGTATTTATCAGCGTTAACACCTCTCATTAAAGAACATATTAAGCTTTATTCAGGGTTACAGATAGTACTACTACAATATCCCGTTGTTGACTAATCAATTAATTACAATTTTTATAATAGCTAAATTCGCGAAGTTATTGAATTTCTTAGTCACGAAGCACCTTTTAAATTTAAAAAATGCATTGCGGAACATTTAATTTTATATTGTATTTATTTAATACATAATTATTTGTACTTTTCGCGTAGCACTGGGAATTCTATTTCGGAGCAATAAGTGCTACATAGAGTACAATTTTGACAATCTCGTTTGGAGAAGATTGTATTTAAGAGCAAGACCCCTATTTAAAGATCATCTTATGCTTCGTTCTAGATTTATAGGTCAACATATTAGTTTATTAAGCTCAAGTAAATTTCTATGATAACAGTGATAAGTTAATTTAAACGTAAACATTTTCAATCCTTTCGTATTACTTAATCGGAGTATCAATATCAGTTTGGCGATTGAGAAAATAACTTGTAAAGCTATTTTTCAATTGAGTTCATTATAAATACATTTTATTAATAAACTGACTAGGCAAAAGAAAACAAATCTAATTGTTTTAATCAACTTCTCTTTCTTAAAAAAGTTTCACTTTCAACTTTCAGAACGGCATTAATGGTAAAATGGAAGCAAATATATATACAAATAATCAAAAGTTAAATTAATAAGTATATTAAAGATGAAGTAAAAATTATACATTACATACCAGGATTATGAACTATGGAAGACATGATCTAGTAATGTTGATGAGGATTAGGTACATGGTTTTAAAACGATTAATTTAATGTTAAATATCTCAAAAAAACTGAAGACAACTACTAAAAAATAATAAAAAATACATGTTAGTGATTACAAAACCATAATACATATTCAATTTAATTAAGTAGTTAATTTGTTGACTTGCTGCAAATGTCCAAACGTTACAAATATAAAAAATAGTGTTGTTGTAACATTGTTTGTTGACCAAAATGCACCAAATTTATATACAAATTAATTTTTAATTGGAATTTATTTTACAGCTAATATTTTTTTTCTTTTTGTATAAAATTAAGTAGAATTAAAAACGAAACAACAGTGCTATTCACTTTTTAGCGAGCGAATAATACTATAACTTGTACTTTTACTTAAAACACTCAGCAGTCGAGATCGTGAACATCACTAACTAATGTTGTGTTATCATGCATAATAAGTTTCCAAGTTATAATAAATTAAAAGATTTTTTTCGTAACTACTACATAATTTTATGAAAGAATTTAAAAAATACATTAATTTGTGATATGGGAAAATGATTTGGTGATTGCAGATAATAAATATGGATTATGAACAAAATAAAAATCGATAATATTATGTTTCTAAATGATTTTGAATTAAACAAAAAATGCTACATAAATAAAGTGATTAAAATAAAGCTGTTAATAGATTAAAACAAAGTATCATAATTATGTATTAAAATATATAGGTACCGCTACTGATAATTTGAATAAATGTTATAAATTTTTTTTATAAATAAAAAAGCAAATTTTTAAAATATGAATTATTTCATAACGCAAAAACCATAGTGTGAAAAGTAATGAAAAATAATTTCTATATATTATATAAAATTATACATTATTTAAAAAACTGAGTTTATTTCAAGAAAAGGAAAAATTTTAATGATTTAAAAAAGAAATGATATAAACTATATTAAAACATATTACACACGCTTAGTCATTTCATTGTTTTATATTTATATGAGAACTTCATGTAAATAATTCTGGCCGATTTATAATAATTTGCACAAAATACATTTTAGCTTTAGTTTAAAAAATTATTACAAATTCATTTAACTATTTTTATAAAAATATTGGATTTATGAGAGAAATATATACCGATCCGTATAAGTTATTGCTACCAAATCCAAAACTTTCTATATGTTTATATACCAAATTTGATACAGGTATGTGTTGGGATGTGTTTAATGGGATTATCAGTCTACAAAATACTATATCTTATTCCCATTGAATTATTCTAAACGACAATAATAATTGACTTGAATGTGGTATGCCTTTTCTTTAGTTGTCAAAATATTACACAAAATCGATAAAATGTGTTGGTTAAGAAATGGTATTAGATTTTTGTCTTTATTGTGAATGTTTTAATATATTGACCTGCTGTTTTCAAGCTCTATTTTGTTCCATATTCAATCAACGAATATAAATAGTCTCTTTTGATGTCTAAATCAAAAATTCTAACGAGTAAAGATATGTTAATAGTGAATTGTGAAGAAATGAACAATAAACAATTATTTTTGATAACATAAATTTCAAGACAAAGAGGAACAAATGTTGGGTTAGGTCCTGTCTGAAGTAAGGAGTCGGGAACGAGTTTTTTTTACTATACTTTGTAGTAAACTAACACTGCAAAATACATGTTGGTTTCTTGATTTTAAAATGATAAACATAAAAGATTGGGAACATATATCTCGTAGTCCATGTTTCTTCATAAATGTATGTAAAAAAAAACCTAATTTCTATTAAAAAATACAACATAAATTACTATATGGAAAATATACTGATGTATTATTTAATTGTAATATATGATATTTGTCATAAAGATTGGTAAATCAAAATTCTATTGTCTTCAAATAAAATTTTCTTTTTAACTATTCTATAAAGCTCACTTTCTTTTTAACTGTATATACAGATATAGCTCACTTCTCGGTATACCGAGGTTTAAAGCTATAAACTAAACAATGAATACAGTAACAAAAACTATACACTCCACCTAGCGCCAACTGGGATATCCACTTTTTACATTTATTTCTACTTTTACTAAACATCCATTTCTCACGTAAATTGACATATAAAACTGCTCATATGTATGTTGTACATATGTTGTACATATGGTTTTAGTACTAGAGTTATTATACAAATGACGAGTAACCACAGATAAATAGGTTTCCTATTTTTTGTTTCTAATTATTTTATTTAAAGCCTTATCAATATTGAGATATAGCATTGTAGAAAAAGTTAATTAAAATAGTTGTCTTTACTATAAACCGTTTTTAAATCGAAGTGCCTAGAAAACTAGAATTATTTTCGGATGTTTATTAAACAATGTATGATGCATCGTGGGTTTCTTATTAATGAATTAACTAAATATCGGAATTTTTTTTTATTTGCAGTTAAGACATATAGTTCATTTTGATATGTTATCAAGTTTTACTCGTATGAATTATAATATATAATTATTTTTGAGGTTTAAAACGATAGACAAGTCCACATAAAATTAGACAGAGATATGGATATCTAACATTTATTCATTTACTGCCGTTAAGTAAACAAAAAAAATAGTTCAACAATTTTCTTCATTACTTGAAATAATGATGGATAATATATATATATATGTATGATGTATATGAATATTTGATGTATATTAATATAAGTATAGTACATAGTATGTACTTTAGAATAAAGTGATAAGTATATATTTTTTTTTAAATGAAGAAAACTTTATATATATATATATATATATATATTTGTGACTACAATGAAATGACTCTTCGTGACGATTACTATTATATTATGTTTCTAAATTTTTTTAGTAAATTAAAATTTTGTACAATAAAAAATATAACTTACCATATCCAGTATAGGCGCGTTCATCATAACTTTGTTGACTTGCATGCTGTGTATAATCAGTTTGAGCTGTTGAATTGTAATCAACTGCAGGCGCTCCATATTGTTGTGTGTAATCTTGACCATAGCTTTGATAGCGCGTATCAGTTTGAGCAGCATATGCAGAGCTTTTAAATAAATGTTTTTAAATTAATGAAATTTGTATATATTTTTTTATATAAATTTACTTATAATTCTGATAGTGACTTTGATCATATTCACTACCATGATGACTTGCATAACTGGTACTTGATTGTGCTGCTGATGGTGCATGGGTGGCATAACCACTGCTCTGCGCATAGCCATTGTATGTAGTCTGTGCAACTGGTGCAGCATAAGACTGTGCATACGGGTCTACTGCTTGGCTTTGATCATGAGAAGCATATCCATGATGTCTATATTAAATAAAAAAATATATATAAAAACACTACTTTAATAGCACTCAAAAAAAAATATATATATACCCGTGTGTTTGCGCATGATGGCTGGGTGGAGCTGCATAGCTAGATTGTGGCGGCATTGATGCAACATGTTGTTGTTGTTGATGATACTTTGGTGTCATTGGGCGTTGTGAATATGGTATACCTTCATATCTTCCACGCTTTGGCCCGGGATGACCACCTATAGCACCACGTTTCAATGTGGGTACTGGAGCTATTTGCGTGTTAGCGCTGTGTTGTTGATGATGATGAGGTGAACGGTTAATGCTTTGACCATATCCACCACGTCCACGTGGTGGTCCACCTCTACGCATTGGCATACCACCATGATCAGGTGCACCGCCCATTGACCCATGCATTACACCATTACTATGATGTGGATTATAGCCACCACGCCCGCCACCTCTCATGAAACCGCCACGACCCCCACGGGGTGGACCACGAGGATGTGAAATACCACCATTTGACCCATTTGTGTTAACAGGAGCAGATATTGAGTTAGTTCCACTTGCTGTGCCAACCGCTGTGGTTGGAGACGTTGAAACTGACGTTTCTTCGTCTGCTGTAGTTGTAGTATTTCCAGTAGCGGTTGGAACTGGTGATACTGTCTTGTTATTGTCTGCACCTGAATGTTGTTTCACAGCTGTAATGAAATACAGGAAATTTAAATATGAGGTGGTGAAAAAATATTTGAGAATTTATCAACTTACTTTGTGCATACATTGGAGGTCTACCACCACGCATACCACCTCCACGTGGCATAAACCCACCACGGCCAGGGTAGCCTTGACCACCTCTGGGTATACGCATACCTCTGGGAGCCATCATACCTTTAATTTATTCAAGAAATATTTGGTCTAAATATACACACATTGATAGCTATTTAATTAATAAATAATTTAATAAGAAAGCAACTACCGCAGCAAACAAATCATCTTCTTTTTTTATGAAATGAAAACAAAACCTATATTAGCTATTAAATTTAGCTTTCTAAAAACTTAGCTTTAAAGCATGTTATATATTTGGTATGCAGCCTTATTGAGTTTGCGCACTTTTTTCCCAACGCGACATGTACCCTCTGGGCTATATATCTTTTCGCAGAAATTCAAGCAAAGCAAAATACATATACACATCACACATACAAGCCGCATCATTATATATGATATACTTTTCAAATTATATTTAATTGTATATATATGCGTAACTAATATAAACAATAAGTTTTAAGAGGCGTAATTTTTTATTGAAGACGTACCTTGAGGCATTGGACCACCCATACCACCTGGTCCCCCCACACGGCCAACACCACCCATAAAGTGGCCACGTCCGATACCTCTTGGACGACCACGGTCAAAACCGCGCATAGGCATGCCACCGCGCCCTCTGTAACCTCCACGTGGCGCAGGTGGTCCACTTACTGGTGCAACAGCTGCTGTTGGAACTGCTTCCATTTTATGATATGATATATATATCAAGTTAACTTATGTTATATGCACTATATGTATACGCTTTTTTCTTTTACGTTGCTTCCAACCGGTGAGTCTTTCACTCTTTAATTATATCAATATTCACATGCAAAAATTCGCATTTAAAAAATATATTTTCAGCTATCAAGCAATTTCATATATATATCAACACTTATTCTATAATTTTAGTAAAAAGATTTTATTTGTTTCTTAGAGCAAACACGACAATAAAATCCCTTGCCACAAGCAAAGTAAAATATGGCGTCGAAAAATAAATCGATATAGTAAAAATAAAGCGGGAACGAAACTTATGTTCTACATTGAAATGATTTATCCAAACCCTGTTTACACTTCAAACCATATTCTAAAAACTAGGTTCTGAACATATAACCAAAACTTTAATATTTCTTTTATATAAATTTGTTTAGTTAATAAAATGTAATAAACCACTTTACATATACAAAAAATTAATTAAATTTAATATGAATAGAATTTAAAATAAATTTAAACCAATTATAATTTTAAAAAATACATATAAATATTATTTTATAATATATTTATATATATTATAATATAAATATTATTTTATAATATATTATTTATTTAAGATAAAATAAATCGGTGCTTTATTTTAAAACGTAAATTAATTTTTCAATAAATACCGACATAGAAACTCAAAAGAAATTACATAAAAACATCTAGTTTATAAAAACTTCTATATATTAACAACAAATTATCTAAACATCTTGGCTGTGCTGCCTAAAGTGCTCTCAGACTTTGGGAGTCTAAGATGTGGAAACCACCTAATTACGCACACCGTACAATTTTGAAGCAGATTAGAAGGATGGGTCATGGCTCAGTCAAGGCGAATCTAGATTCTGCTACAGACTACATGACACCAATACTAAATTTCAATACCAGAATTCTCACTCTTTATTCAACCAGAGATAACTGGGAGCTTGGATCTGTGACAGGTAACTCTGCAGTCACCATCTACACGGATGACTCAAAGATGGAGGGCGGTACGGGAGCAGGTATCTTCTCGAATGATATGCAGCTAAGGCAGTCCTACCGACTCCCTGATACTTGTAGCGTCTTTCAGGCCGAGATATGTATATGCTATCGAAAAAGCGGTCAACTTTATACAACAAAAAACAATTCATCCCTCGAATCTCATGATTTTTGTAGATAGCTAGGTTGCACTGAAAGCAATTGAATTTAAAACGGTTAAATCCAAGATTGTATTAAAATGTCTCGCCTCACTGATGAGCATCAAACATCACAAGGTCTCTCTTTGCTGGGTTCCTGGAAACAGCAATATTAAAGGGAATGAACTAACAAACGAGATGATCAGAAGAGGTTCTAAACTGCATACAGGAGAGGCCAACCTCTCAATACATACACCGATATGTCAACTGTTTAGGATAATAGAAGAAATCACCAATACGGTGACTAGCAATTTATGGGCTGCGAAGACTGTCAGTTCACTAGAACCTTATGACCTAGGTTGGATAAAAATAAAAGGAAAAGCCTTTTAGGCTTTAGCAAACCTATAGTTCGTGTGCTTACTGGATTACTAACGGTGCACTGTGGTATTGCGCCTATGCTTCAACGGTGGCGAGTTCCAACAAGTGTTTATATTATAAAAGTAAAAAGTACCCGGATTTTGTAAATAAAAGACACACATTTTAATTTTATTCCAACTTTATTTTATTTCTTTCAAAATACGCTCCTTCTGAAGCGATACACATATGCCAACACTTAACCCTATCTTCCATACACTTTTCGTAGGCCCGCGAAGGTATGGGTTTCAGTTCCTTCGGCGAATTCTCTTTTACCGATTCAATCGACTCAAAATGCTTTCCACGAAGGCACAATTTGAGTTTCGGGAAGGGGAAAAGTGACAGTGGTGAGTGATAACAGTGGTGCCGTGTTTGGTCAAAAAATCGCGTACAACAAGGATTTTCCATAGTAAAAATCGCTAAATGCACTTGAGGTAGTCTCACATTAACAGCTGCTGTAAACAAACTAATTGACAGATGGCGCTCAAATTTGTACCATATATCAAGAAAGGGTGTACCAATGTAACAAAAAAAGGTCTATTACTTAAGGAGTAGTTAACAAACAACAACATCCGGATACTTTTTGAGCAGAGTATGTTTACACTAAGTAAATCCTATCTTTAAAAAGATCTGTTATAATATATAAATTAAATGATATGGAATGCGTCTTATTATTTGAAATGAATGAGATTAATTTTTATATAATTTGTTTTATTTATCTCTGCTTTAGTAATTTATTATAGAAAAGAATATATATTAGGAGATATAAATATTAATCGATTTATTTTGTTAGTTTTATTATTTGTTAGATCAATAATATTTTTAATTATTTCACCAAATTTAATTAGAAGTGAAATGAAGTAGTAGTATTTGAAATGTGAGTAGCTATTTTCTGACAAGGAAATTGAAACTGGTGCATAATTATCATCTTGTGCTTCTGTTATGATATGTTTCCTCTATATATATGCTATTTTATCCGGCAGCTCAAAACTACAAATCTTTGTTTTAATTGTTAAGTATACATAACATTTTTCTCATACGAGTTATACGATTTTTCGATTTGGATTACATCATTTTTGCATTGAAGTAATATATTATTGAATTCATTTGGTTTATTTAGCTACAAACAAGAATTTTTACAATCTCTTAAGCTATGAACTTATCCAAGTTATTTCACATTAACACTTGGAATATACCTTTACATTTCATGTCGCTTGATCACTAATTGAAAAAAATTCTTTATTGTTGATAGTTTGAGCACTAATTTCACTTGAAAGTTTATATTTCGATTATAATTACAGTTTTAAATATTTTATTTCGTCATTAGTTACTAAAAGTTTGATCCAGTTTCTTATTTTCGTCCATATGGCTCAACAAACCTTTTGAACTATTTGTAGGACGTGTTCTATTTACTAAAATATTTTCGCTAATTTTAATTTAAAAACCAGGATAAGTTAATATATCTTAAGAAGTTTTTTATTCTTTAGTGTTTAGAAAGACCACCACTTCGTTTTTCGATGCAAAAAGCTGCCTACAAACAATTACTTTGCAATTTAATATGATCACCCACTTCCAAGTGTTGAGGTATATGCTTTTTTGTTTGCTAAGTAAAATAATTGCAAAGATATTCTCATTGATATTCAGTCGAAATAGAGTAACATCGATATCGAAAGTAATCCAATATTGGGCTTCTTGTAGGTGTTAATAACGTAAATTAAAACAAATTGGCCTGGATAAAAACAATTGTTATTCATGATCACTTAAAGTGCATACATTAGTTTCTTCTTCCTTTTCAAATATGCGTCTATATAATTCAAGTGCACCGGGAAGCTCCATGCAACCAAGCTGTTTACGATTTTGTTCTTCTGTTTTTCTCTGTCGTGTTGCAGGAAAAGGTTTTACTGGTGAAAGCGGAGGAAGTGGATCCAAGTAATAACTTAAATTTGGTTCAAGCACCTGAATATTATTATTTACGTGTTTTATATTCACTTTATGTTTATGCAAGGGTTCTTCTATTTCTGAAACATTTAAAGAAATGAGATTTTTAAATATTTGTTCGTTTGGTTTGAAGTTGAGTTTTCTGGTTATCTGCAGAAGAAAGTTTAAATTAAATATTAAAAACAAAACAAAAATGTTTTAAATTATACCTTCGAAGCTATTTTAGCTTTGGAAACAGGAGTCAAATCGTCGAGTTTTTCTATTTTAGGCAATTTAATGTTTTTTAAAGTATGCATATCTTTCATTAGGTGACTCGTAGCATTAATTTTTGGCATGGACAAAGTGTGTAATAATTTTTCAGGTTTAATATTTTCTTTGCTGTGCCTGGTTAGCTTTTCGTAATTCTCCGACTGAAAATAAAATGTTTTATTTATAGGCAAAATAATTATCACTTTTTTACCTCTAATCTATCCACTCTGTTTAAGAGTCGTATGTTTTCTTTATTTGTTTTGCATTTCATGTTGTAGTTTTGTACAAGGATATCATTATCTGAGTCATCTGTTTCTTGCCCATAGTCTTCCTTTTGTTCATTTGGCTGTTTAATTGTTGGTTTGAAGTTATCATTAGTCTGTTTAATTGTGCGATTTTTTTGCACGCTTTGCAATGAGTGTGCTTCATTATTATCGTTTATTGTAAGTTTTTTGTATGCACCACAAACCAATTCCTCTTCACTTTCCATTCTTGAATAATTTAGAAAATTGCGCCTGTATTTTGTAAATTATAAAGTTATCTACAATCTCATTTGACATATGTAAAATTGACAAGAAAGCGAAACTCATTATCTAAAAGCATTATTCTCATCAATCAGCTATCGTATGTGTCATGTTATGTAGAGCGGCGAATTTGGATGGGCTATGACGAAAATACATGTTATGTAGAGTGTCACATCAGTATTGCTAATTTCGTATTTTACTACTACCTTTGCACTTTTTAGTTGTCCCTAAATTTTAAAGGATATATAGATATGCTCACTTTCAATTTGCCACCAAAAATAACCAGCGAAAAAAACTCATAGAGGCCGTAAAAATGTTAATTTATTATTATTTTTTCTTATAATAATTGTTAACAGTACTAACAAAATTATACGCCTTTCCTTAAAATCGGAAAGTGTAAGAATTAGATTATTAATCGTTTATAAAATAGGCTCTGTTGCTTTCTGAGATTTTATTTTTCAAAACGTTTTGAAATTGTAAAAAATTGATCTTAAAAGGCGCAATTTATTACTGGACAAGACTTCTTTGCCTAAATGACAAGACACAGATAGTCTCGGTTCTCATGACGGAATTTAAACCGACATATTGTTTTTATTCTCACTCTGAATTATACAATTTGCGTTGAAGGCAACAACACTTTTTTCATGTTTTGCCCTTGACACTGTACATAACATGGGCCTTATTGAACTTTATCGGAAACATTCTATTCGATTGTTGGTATTAAAGTTTAAATTTTAAATGGTGCAAGCCATTCGTTGTTCGGATCAAGCTTGAGTTTATGTTTGTTTAGGTTTCTTGTATTCTGTTCCTTTTTTTGATTTCTACGCTATGTAATACAAAAAATTATGTCATAATTGTCAATTTTCTATTTTAAATACTATTTTAATAGTAGTCACCAAAATGTGGATTACATATCCATAATAAAATACATATTATTTACACCTAAAAGGCGTACATTCGGACATTTATTTCTGAGCAACAACGTTTTGAACAACGCGATAACGCACAGGATGCCTGATTAATTTACTTTTAATCACAAAATGTAAATGCCGTATTAATTGTAGATATCTTAATCATGAATAGACTATATTTTAATAATAGACTTTTCTTAATAGACTATATTTTATTTAGTATTTAGTTGAAAAACTTAATATAAACTCAAATAAAGACATTAGAGTCTTCAGGTTATATTTTAATACGACAAATTTTTTATATATTAATCATATTTTAATCATGAATAGACTATATTTTAATAATAGACTTTTCTTAATAGACTATATTTTATTTAGTATTTAGTTGAAAAACTTAATATAAACTCAAATAAAGACATTAGAGTCTTCAGGTTATATTTTAATACGACAAATACGACAAAAGAGAGTTTCTATAATTGGTGAGTAAAGTTAATTTAAACGTTGTAGCGATCTTAGTGGTGTAAATCTGTTTGTGTATGACATGATAAACATTACTTGTGATATTTTAAATTAAGTATCGAGATAAACCTCAGTTTTATTAGTTCATAAAAATTGTAAAGAATTTATATATATATATGGATTTTAAGAGAGAAAAATGCTATATCGTATTATTTGCTATATAAAATAAAAATGGTGTGGTACTGAATTTAAATTGATACTCAATTAATTACGACAATGTTGAATTTGGCGACATAACCGTCAGATAATGTTTATCTACGTCATATGTTCTATAAATAATTTGTGTAGTAGGATAAGTAGTTTTTAATAGCAATAAGAAAATTTTAATAACACTGTATAAATGTAACAGAAATTCTTAAATTGTTAAAATTAAAAATAAAAGAAATAAACACACTTCATAGCGCAAAAAATATATGAAATTTGTTTAATAAATAGTATTAAATAGTATATAGCAAAATGCCAGGCAAGGTTGGTGTTAAAATTAAAGCTGGTAGAAATTTACCAATAATGGACAGAAGCAGTGATACGACAGATGCATATGTCGAGATTAAATTAGGAACAATAACACAAAAAACGGATGTTTGTCGCAAATCTTTAAATCCACATTGGAATACAGACTGGTAAGTGTTCAGTAAGTACATGCGAATGCAGAGGCAGGTAGAAGAGTGAAAATTAGGAAAAGCGATATCAGTAAACGACACTTGCTTAAGATAACTCGTAAACATTATTTAAAGTAATAAATTAAATAATAAGCAACTAACTTTTTAAGGTTTCGATTTGAAGTGGATGACGCAGAACTACAAGATGAACCTTTACAAATTCGTTTAATGGATCATGACACTTATTCGGCTAACGACGCAATCGGCAAAGTGAATATTAGTTTGAATCCCCTTTGTCTAGAAACTTCAGGGCAAACAACGCAAGGTAAGGGAACAGTATTTTCTGGCTGGATACCAGTTTTTGATACGATGCATGGCATACGTGGTGAAGTGAACATTATTGTCAAAGTGGATTTGTTTTCTGATCTAAATAAGTTTCGTCAAAGCTCTTGTGGAATACCTTTTTATCACTGTAAGCATGAATCAAAATAAATGAAATTTTAATTAAATTCAATATTAATATAAATACTTCATAGCTCAATGCATTCCACATGGCTACCGGGCACAAATTATACATGGTTTTGTTGAAGAGTTAGTAGTAAACGATGATCCGGAATATCAGTGGATAGATAAAATACGTACACCACGAGCTTCTAATGAAGCACGACAGGTTGTTTTTCTCAAATTGTCAGGACAAGTAGGTTATTCTTAATTATTATAATTAAAAATTAATAATATTCATTATTTTTGTTATTTTTGTTATTTTTAAGGTGCAAAGAAAAATGGGTCTTAAGGCCATAAATATGGGTGCAAATGCAGTTATTGGCTATACGCAATGCTTCGATTTGGAGGGTGATGTTGGTGTGGTTGCACGTGGCATTGGCACTGCTGTCACTTTGATAAAAGATACAAATATACAACCAAACACAGCGGACAATGCGCTTATTGAAGAGTAAGTAAAACTAAAAAAATGACAGGCTAAACTGATAGTGTCTAGGAACTAGAAAAAAATGAAGTATATATAATAATATTTTACTTGATTTTTAATCTTTTGAATAACTAAAACTTTTTACTTTCTATTTGCCCATATCGTGCGCTGTCGAAAACTAAAAAATTTCATAAACTTGTAAATTTGTTGTGTAAAATTTTAACATATATTAATACTTCGTTTGTATGTTTTGTTTGTGTTATATTATTGCCCATTAAACACACCTTCCATATAAACCGCATTTGAATAAAGGAGTACTCTAAAATATTTAGAATTTCTCACCGGAGGTAATATAAATTTGTGCGGTTCAGTAGATTGGGATATAAAAATAGATAAATCTAGTTCTATTACTTTCCTCAATTTACCACATTCTATTTCGGATACCGATCTCACAACTATGCAAGAACTTATAAGACAGGAAGATGAACGAGGTGAAAAATCCGCCAAAAAACTTAAACATCATATGAAACGTTTAACGCGTTCATCGCGTAACATTTTGAATGAAAAGTGCAACAGCTTGATGCGTAAAATTGGCGACGGTAACGAGTCAAAATCAGTGCAAAGTAGTAGTTCTCTTTCACTGAGTAGTTTATTTACGGGCGGCTTCATGAAAGATGACTTAGGTGCTTCAGCACGCAGCTCTTTACTGACTGTACGAAAGTCAAGTTTTAAAGCTAAAAGTAAAGCAACAACCCTTAAGCCCGTACAGCGACAATCACTAAAATCCACACATCCAATTGTACGTTCTGTGAGTGATGATTCGGCGATGCAGCACGGCCTCACTTGTAACAAACACACTACAGCACCAAAAGTAGCAGTTATAACTGAATTTACAGATAATACGCGTTCATCACCAAATATTTGTGGTGAAGAACAACTCATATTGCGTCAAGCAATTCTCGCTAAAGCCGAAGAAAGCAAACACCAGCCGTTTGGTGAATTCACTGCTCATGCACCACATCTTAAAACAATAGGAAATGAAACTAAATGTGGGCTAATGAGTTCCTCAACAACTCTTTCGGAAAGTGACACAGAAAGCTCAAGTTCAGATGAGTATTCAGTTTTAGCAGAGGAGTCAACACAAGAATTACAACTAAATTCACCAGCTGAGGATTGTGATGAGAAATTTAATTTTAGAAATCTAAATTTGAAATATAAAGAGAAATCAAAACCCTTAGTGGAGAGTCTACATTTGCAACAAAGAAATGATTCAATAAATCATGATCAATTTTCAAACACAAAGTCGTCTACAAAACCATCAAAATCGA